AGCACTTGCAAATTTGGCAATTACTGACTGCGTTGCTTGCTTTTTTGGGTTAAAACGCAGCCATTTACACATTGTTTATTAGTGTTCTGAATAAGCAGAGAAAACCCCGCAACATTTTAATGCGAGTTTGTTTGTTAATATTTGGGTGCTGTCATTGGTTCTTTTTTGACAATTGACGCGCGAATGGGGCGTGTTATGAAAAGGGGCGTTTTACAAAATACCGGGCGATGGTTGCAGGCCCACTATCAGTTCCCTTGGGCCTGCACGCAGGCTAGGCCATACTGACAAATATGTGGCATGATTGATGATATAACATTGAACCTATTAAAACGAGTTGAAAATGATACTCAAAGGTGACTTTGTACGCTCAATAGACAAGTTACAACATAGAATCAACTTAACAGTAAGTAAAGGTTTGTAGAACGTACCTGTTCGAGGTATGATGACCGGTGGATTCATCTTTTTCAGCAACAAAAACTTGACAATATAGCACATGAAATACAAATAGCCGCATTTAGCGTGCAGAAATCGTGAGTGGGATACGCAAAATTATCCTAAGGAGATGTTTTCGTCCGGTCCAATGAAACACGAGTATTACTCACAAATACAAATGTTATCCATAAATGCACATGGTCTCCGAGGGAGATAGGGACTCAGGAGGTCTGGAACTGGTAATTGTGCGCGTGCGTATGGGTTATTAAGAAAGATGGCATGAGCCGACTACTACGTACATAAATACGGAGCTTGTTACTATGAGAACTGAATCAAGCAGTCGAGGAATCGATGGCATTTGAATCGATGGCATTTGAATCGATGGCATTTTGGCTTAGTCGTTGCACCCTGAGCCTCCGATGCGCTAACGCAAACTCCATTTCTCGACGAAAACAGAAAATTAGGGATTTAAGACACTTGACCTTTTAGGTCAGTGTAACAAGACGCCTGCTCAAGGCGTTCGCTCCGTTGGTAAAGGGGAAGGGCAACAAAAGAATTGCTTGGGTGCATGGTGTAGGAAGTTGAAAAGGTGTGGAGTAGCACCTTATTGTAACCTTGGCATTTTGGCAAAGAGTAACAAAATACGGTACATACAAATCAGAAATGAAAGATATATCTCCAGTAAATTAATTATACTTGGTTTAGTTTAGTTTACAGTATATAGTATTAATTATATGATCGTATACAGTTCTACTTCAAATGTATAAATAGTACGCACTTGCACATCTGGTTCCCAGAAGGCTTGGGATAAGTATCACTGTGAAATAAGGTGATATATAGTATCTGGTGTTCCATCAAATTTCCACTGTGTTTTATGTCAGTATTATATTCTGGGTTGAAAAATATTTCTTTTAGGATAGAGAATGTTTCAAGAGAAGGCATAGCCTAGCATTCAACTCTTCTGCATATTTTGTTTCTTCATTTTAAGCAAAGCCATAACAACGCAGATGCGACGAAGGTATAACTCACTTTTTTAAAAAAGTAGCCTATATGTTTGGGCATGCAAAGTTTCAGAAGAATTAAATTTTTAGGTTCCATGACTGTTATAAAAATCCTAAAATACAATTAAAGTATTTTCTTATAAGACAATGGTCTATATGTCCTTTTTTGTGCCCACCACACTTTGCTTCGTCTACTGGACGTCTAAAAAACATCCCACTACATGTTCCTTGCAGCCCCGAAAGCCTTTGTTTATGTTATGTTGGTTATGTAGAATAATTTGTAACACTATATTATTGATAACGCCGTAGGACAACAAACAAAAGTTGATTTAGTCGATTGACGTAAGAAAGGTATCATATGTCATAAATAATAGACTTCGAGTTGATTGTCAGACTGAAAGCACGAGAGAAAACCAGAAGGATTGTTTGTTATATATTTTATCGTTTGAATCGTTTTTAAATAAATATGTTTTAAAGTACGCGTGTGTGTTCTATTTCCGATGGTATTGTTCTGATAGTATACAGTCCCCACGAAGCGCAACTGTCTTGCGGTGTAAGACAGAAAAGTGCAACACTTGGTCCATGCGAACCGGATAGATTACGAAAGAAACAATCGAGATAGATACGACAATGCCGTTGGACGAGCTGACAAAGAAAAGAAGAACACGCGCAGCGCACAGAGGTTCAGCAACGAAGATAGGGACGAAGATAAAAGAATGTTTAGCGAATACGAGTGAAACGCCACAAACGGACAAGAATGTGCTGAAACAGCTGAGAGATACGCTGAGCGAGAAAGTCGAAGCCTTGAAACTTTTAGACAACGAGATTGTCGAGATACTAAGTAATAGTGAAGCCGAAGACGCAGAACAACAGCTGGAAAAGGAAATTCAGGAGACAGGATGATACGCGAGCTGAATTACAAAAAATAATTCTCGACGTGAATGACGCATTGTTCGAAGCCTTGCCGTCACTACCACAAGGTCAAAGTACACCATCGAATCTGAGTATGAACGCTACACCAAAACAGACTGTTCGCGCAAGGCTCCCAAAGTTAGAGGTGAAAAGATTTAATGGGAAAATTCAAGAGTGGCAAGAATTTTGGGACTCTTTTGATAGCTCGGTCAACCAGAATGACGCTTTATCCGAGGTAGATAAATTCGCGTATTTGAAAGGTCTACTGGTTGGTCCCGCGCAGACAACTATCGCAGGGTTCACGTTGACAGCAACGAACTATAAAGAAGCATTAGAACTCCTGAAGACACGATATGGGAAGAAAATGGCGATACAGAGAGCTCATATTCAAGCGTTAATAAACATAAAGCCAGTATACAACGAGCGAGATGTGCGTCGACTACGGGAATTGTACCATGCCTGTGAGACAAACTGCCGAGCTCTGAAAACCCTGGGAGTGGACGAAAGTTCGTATGCTACGATTGTTGTTCCGGAAATACTCGACAAGCTGCCGGAATCCCTTCGTTTGACGATAACTCGTGGGTCAAGTGCAGGTGGATCAGATTTTCTATATTGGACGATGAAGGATATTTTAAAAGCGCTGCTAGATAAAATTGAATTACGCGAAGCACACGAATCATCTACGACGAACACGTCAAAACAAGAACGAAGGAAACCACAGTTTCTAGATGGATCGGCGGCTGCTCTTGTGAATCATACCACCAGGGAAGGGAAGGCAATATGCATATATTGTTTACAAGAACATTTATCACAAGATTGTAAGAAAATTCAGAATGCTGGTGAGCGTAAACAGATTCTTCGTAAGTACGGACGGTGTTTTATATGTTTAAAAAGAGGACATATTGGTAGTAATTGTTTAAATACGAGTAAATGAAATGCATGCAGTAAACGACATCATAGTTCTATTTGTGAGAGGGCACTGAGAGCCATGCTAATGGGTCTATAACCGCTGACGTCGTTCATTCCACACATTCGTGCGTTGGGTCAGCAAATAGAGTAGCATTGCAGACGGCTCAGGCTTTGGTGATGGGAGGAAAGGAGAATGTGAGAGTGCGGGTTATGTTTGACTCAGGAAGTCAACGGTCATTCGTTACGGGCAAGGTAGCTCAGAAGGCAGGAGTGCCAGTAAAGAGGAAGGAATGGGTAGAAATTAAAACGTTCGGACAGGAGAAAGTTGAAGGGAAGTTGAGAGAAGTGTTTGAATTGAGTGTAGCCCCAGTACAGGGGGGGAGAGAGTGTTAGCATTGAAGTTTATGGAGTAGACAGCATTTCACAGATTAGGAATGAGCATGTAAAGACAAGGAAGAAAGATTACCCACATTTGCAAGGGTTATTGTTTTCCGATGTTTGTAAGACCAAGAATGTGTTAGAAATAGAGTTACCAATTGGCGCAGATTATTTGTGGTTATTTCAAGAACGGCGTACGGTTAGGGGCAAGAGTGATGAACCTGTTGCGGTTCAAACCAAATTAGGATGGGTGTTGTCAGATCCACTGAAGAGTAGCTCTGAAGATGATGGTGGTCCTACATCGTGTGCACAGGTAAGTGTAAACCTTATTGGGCATGTAACTTCATCAAAGAATAGGTCCCTTGAAGCATGTGTTGAAAAATTATGGGATTATGAAACGTTAGGTATAAAGCATGAAGAGGAAGCTAGTGAGTTATTAAATTATTCAATACATTTCAATGGCCAACGATATAGTGTAAGTTTACCTTGGAAGGAAGGGCATAGTTTATTGCCAACCAGTTATAGCTGTAGTGTGCAGAGATTAAAGGGACAGCTTTTAAGATTAAAGAAGGAGCCAGAAGTTTTACGAGAGTATGACAGAGTAATTAAAGAACAGTTAGAGCTAGGTATTATAGAACCAGTTGTAGAGTTAGAGAGAGCTGATAAGATCCATTATCTACCACATCATGCTGTGGTTCGTAAAGATGCAAAGACCACTAAGGTCAGGGTTGTGTATGATGCATCGAGTAAAGAGACTAAGAAGGGTGTATCTTTAAATGACTGCTTACATGTTGGGCCACCTCTATCCCCGTTGTTGTATCCACATTATATTGCGTTTTAGAGAAAAGCGAATAGCGCTTGTAGTTGTAGGTCAAATTATGATACCAAGGTGGTTGTATGGAAATCTAATTGGAAAACATAAATGTTCATTACATGAGTTTGGTGATGTTAGTTTGAAAGCCTATTGTGCAGTTGTGCATTATTTCTGTGAATTAAGTTCAGACGAGACTAGTTACAAAATTGAAGAGAATGATGAGAGAAAGGTTAAGCGTAGGTTTAGGCATCTAGCGAAACTGCGAGTTCACTTTTGGGAGAGATGGAGAAAAGAATACTTGACGAATTTGAGAGCATCATAGAAGTAAGAGGGAGAAGAGGGATAGTAACGTGAAGAAGGGAGATGTAGTTTTAGTATTTGACGAGAATCTTAAGAGAGGATTTTGGAAGTTAGGTAGGATTGAGAGTTTAATTTTTGGTAAAGATGAAGTGGTTCGAGGAGCGAAAGTGAGAGTGATGACTAAAGGAAATCCAGTATATCTTAATAGACCAGTTCAGAAATTGTATCCTGTAGAGTTAAATGAGAACGGAAGCAGTACGGAAGAAAGAAAGGATAATAAAGTTGAAATTGAAGTGGATGGGTATGATAACAAGAAAGGAAAGACGAAGATTAATGAGAAAGAAAGGAAAGACGGAAATGAATGAGAAAGACGGAGAGAAGAGTAAGATGGAAAGCTGTGTCCATAGTAATACTAATAGACCTAGGAGAGCAGCAGCTTTGGATGCACATTGGAGAACACAAGTCATGTTTGACCCTTACAGGCTCAAAGGGGGGAATGTGTAGAATAATTTGTAACACTATATTATTGATAACGCCGTAGGACAACAAACAATAGTTGATTTAGTCGATTGACGTAAGAAGGTATCATATGTCATAAATAATAGACTTCGAGTTGATTGTCAGACTGAAAGCACGAGAGAAAACCAGAAGGATTGTTTGTTATATATTTTATCGTTTGAATCGTTTTTAAATAAATATGTTTTAAAGTACGCGTGTGTGTTCTATTTCCGATGGTATTGTTCTGATAGTATACAGTCCCCACGAAGCGCAACTGTCTTGCGGTGTAAGACAGAAAAGTGCAACAGGTTATTACGCTCATTTCTCCGACATTCTTATTTGCAGAGGTGTGCCTCAGTTTCTCTTCGGCTCTCGTGAGGTTGAGGTGCATCGTATTTTTGGGACACCCTGTATGTATATCAACATTCTTCAAAAAACTATTTTATCTGCTATATGCTATTTTTATCTTCTACTGTATTATTTTTTTGCTAATATGCATGCATGCATAACTACATGCATGCAGCATATTTGGAAGTTGATCGATTCCATACTCATGCTCATGCACGCTATGTAAGAATTAAGAAATGTCATAAATTAAAACCATATAATATTGTGTCAATATACAACTACAACAGTATAAGCAATTACAAAATCCAATCATCACATCTTAAGAAATAAGATACTGACAGTATATTTGCTAAAAAAAAGTTGGGTAACATACAATTCACACTGATTATAATATGCAGTAAGAGAACCTGTTGGCGTCACACATAAGACAAGTTAAACGTGTCACCTATAACATCATTTTATTATCAATTACCTTATTCACCTCCTTGATTTCCGATTCACCAAAAGCCAAACTCAGCAAGGCTGTAAAAATCAGGATTTTCAACAGAATCTTCCCAGGCGTCATTTTCAAAAGATTTTCTAAAGCACGTTGTATACCTTCTGCCTTGTTGTCTACGCCTCTTGACAGCCTATCAAAAAAGGGTTTTCAAAAGAGCGTTCTAATTTAAATACCAGCGTTTCTATGTTAACAATGTAGATGTACAGTGTGTCCCCGCAAAAAAGTACCCTCTGTAGAAATTATCCTTTCGTTATAAGGGTACTTTTTGGGGACACACTGTACAATGTATAATGCAGGGTGTCCCAAGAAAAAAAAACTATTAAAATTATAACGTATTGTTAGAATTTGAATGCCTCAACACTCTGCTGAACCCGTAAGTGCATAAAAGCTTAACATAAGTACATTTTATGTATAAAGAAACTGTTCAAGAGGCTGTTTTAAATTCCCAAGAGCAGAAAATCGTGCGCTTTACAAAGATATTTTAATTTCTATAATAAGTCAACATTCCAAAATAATTATGCAACCTGTCAATATTTTACGCATGCATCTTTGCGTACAGCTTAGTGCAGGGCACTAAAATTCTAACAATACGGTATTTCAATAGTTTTGGTTTTTTTGGGAGACCCTGTATATAATTATTATCTAATTGGGTGTTCATGTATGAATCCTTTGTGGTCAAAATCTTTGGGGTCAACCCAAAAATTGATTGAAAAGTGAAAAAAAAATATTTGTGCTAAAACAGAGATTTTGGCCTTGGTTTTTCTATTGCAGACTGATTTACGTGTATTTTTAAAATGTTTCTGTGTTTTTGAGCAAATTTTGACCGCTCCTTTGTTAAAAATCAACTGCATGCTTTGTTCACAATTGAGAAACAGATAATTCATCATCATCTGACAAAATCTTCATGTCAATTTTAAGACAGAACTTCAAGAGGGTACCTAAATATCGAGTCAGGATTCGAGCCAGGACTCGAGCCAGGACTCGAGCTAGGACTCAAGCCAGGACTCGATTCAGGAACAGCGTTCACACTTGAGAATGCTCCATGTAATCGGCCCCTAAATGTAACGGTTATTAGCGTTGGAGGCAGTGAATGAAACAATTGTCAATACCATTGTTGTTCTTTGTCTTTGATATATTGCACAAATATCGATATCCAAAAAAGGGAAATATCCGGCCAGTATTTTATCGAACTAAAACAGTTGGTTTTGCCCATCACCAACAGTCTCTCGCTCTTTACAAAACAGATACCTGTTGCCGCTCATTGCCGCTTAGCATTCATCAAAGAGTAGGATAATTCTCCCTGCCTTATTTTCCTGTAATAGACGCCAATATCACCAAACTGTATTATAGAAGAGCCGGCCACGCTGGCTAACTGTATTACCAAATACACCCTTTCGATAATTACACATACTTTTTGGTCTTGGAACCTCGCTCTCATTGGTAAATTACACAAGGTGATTAGCGTAATTATTGAAAGGTTGTATTTAATTTGCTAGTAGTAGAACATTTAGCTAGCCTGTGTAACGTGTCTTATGAAACAAAACCATTGGGTAATGGCAATTCCCCGAATTTTCGCATTTTTTTATCGAGTCCTGGCTCGAGTCCTGACTCGAGTCCTGACTCGAGTCCTGGCTCGAGTCCTGGCTCGAGTCCTGGCTCGAGTCCTGGCTCGAGTCCTGGCTCGAATCCTGACTCGAGCAATAGTATATCTCGAACTTCAAGGAACTACAGGAAACATATAAAAATCCCTGGTTTCCCAAAGCCTATCAGAAAATTCGCGGGAAAGAAAGCAACTTACTATGATAATGTTACCCAACATTAATTAAAGTTACAGGACACCCTTTTTTGATGTTTTGTGGAAAATCGCTACTGCGCGCTCAAAATCAGTCCGATTTTCATCAAATTTGCACCACATGTTAGCCAGTACATGCAAAATATGGTAAAGTTGTAAAATTGTGTAAGAATAAATAATGTAAGAATTATTCAGGAAAATCTTAAATCGCGGTACCTTTACGCTTATGTGTTATGTTCCGGCTGGTTTTAAGATATATTTATGAAAATATCATTTTTATACATTAAAATAGTTGTTCTAAAAAATTGTGTTCGGAAATTGTTGTTTATGTCGTCATTCCGCTGATATGGCGATTCCTCTGACGACTGCAATATATTCCTGAATCGTTTGAGTGAACTTATTATTAAAATATCCAAAATTAGAACAAAGCCGAACATAATTTTGAAACAGACGTCTTTAGCTATGTCCTGTGAAAATATAAGAAAAATTCGTTAGAACCCGCAGGAGAACTCGTTTGAAAATCACTAATTGCCGTAAAATTCTTCGGGAGAAAATTGAATTTGAATATTACATTTTCAATGTTTTTCATACTGCAAGCGAAATGTATTTAATTAAATAACTCTACGAGTTTTCAACAATTTTTGTTCAAACTTGGTCAGATAGTAGAACTAATCTAACGCGTTCACGGAAACCAATAAAAAAACTTTAGGAAAATTAACACACAAAGGTGTTATGTATAACCTTAAAGAAAATTATTACAATGGAAGTCGTGGAAAGGAATAATTTTATCTTGTGAACCAAGTATGTATGTACATTGCACTTTTCTTAAAAGAAATTATGCATGGCATAATAACTCTTGCTCTTTGTATTCAATCTCCTAAATTATTTAATTCGTCTCTAATTTTTGTAAGCAGTGAAAACAGGGAATAACTCACGATTTCAAATGTCTTTACTTCCTTCTTGATGTTTATGTTTCAGTAAAATTGAGATTCAGTTGTTGATCGTTAACGTATATCTGTGAACTATATGAGATCCAGTTTTCGTTAAGATATTATATCTATACTTAGTTAATGAATAAAAAGAGGAAGAATTTCTGCTCTGGTGACTCCAGCCAATTGAAGACCTGAACGATGTTTGAAGCGATTCGATCATGCAACTGGTGTTCATTATGTTGTCATAAGTTTGTTAGTTTTAATATATTTTGTAATGAATTATTTGTGAAAGAAAATAAATTCAAATATTATAGTTTTACGAGAAATTATTCTTTGGACTATATGTTTGTCACACTTCCAAGCTTTTCCCAAAATATTTCAATTTATAATGCTAATTAAGATTTATTTAATTTTAGACATTTACATATTAACATTTAATTTTAATTATACTTCTTAATAATGAAAACGTTTTGCAAAGTGCATTTTCTTGATGATTTGTAAACTCAAAGTCTTATTGAGAACAGTGATATTTTTAGAAAAGAAACGACAAAATGTAGTCAACTGTCGAAAAATCTATGAAAAACCTTTTCGCGCTCCGGTGCTTTTACCATGCACTGGTAGTCACACCTGTTGTATTAACACAGGTTAAACTTTTGATCACAAAAGAGAATTTAAATTAGATTTTAAGATGTTCTCCAGTAATCCAAAACGCAACTCATATTTAAATTAAGCATTTCACATTTTCACAATGATTATGCACTAGTCAATTGAAATCCCGGGCCCCCGACCTCCGGGATAGGGTGGGGAAATGAACATTTTAACAATATTAAATATTGGTAATTTTCCTGCTACCAGGGGAATATTGACTGTTAAAGTTACCGCCCCTACGGCCCTTGCACTTTGCACATTTTCATGACTTCGGAAATGGGAAATCAGTTGAAGTATAAAATGTTCAAAAGATGTGAAGGCTCAAAGCGTATCGGGCTGTCAATTTCCTGTTTGTAATCTAAAATGACTGAAAATTGCAAACTTCGCAAGGCTATATTTTCCGCATTTTACAACATTTCGCAACGAAACTTTGGAATATTACTAATTTTGTGATGTTCTTTCAAGCTGTGATGAAATTTTTGTCTAGATCAATTGACTTTTTAGTTCATTATAGGCTCAAACAGGCAAGGCGTTAATGCTTTACTGTATATTATAAATAAATCCCGTTAACGCATTAGAACATAAGCTATATAAAGATTTATCAATAATTTTTTTGAACACATGAAATAATTATTTTCATGATTTGGACAGACTGGTAATATATTCCTGTACACAACTCCTATTCCTTTCTCCGCCATAAATTTGTATCTCTATGAAACAGATAACTCATCATCATCTCACAAGATCTTCATGTCAATTTTAAGACCATGGCCAGAAATTCGCGACATTGAGCAGTCATAGAGATCAGCGGTAATCCTCAATAAATTTCAAAATGGCGGCCAAACATGCTAGCACAAGAGTGGATTACAAACAATTACACTGTCGTAGCTCTGTAATTATGTATGATAATTCCAGTGCACGAAAAGAACAGGGAAAGATTTACCCTGTTATTCATCTTGCAACACTACAATGCTCTTCACTTTGTCCAGCACGTTTTCCCGTGTTCCATTCTACCGCTTGTTCCAGCAAGTTATTTCGCTGCTTTTGAACAAGATACTCGTAATATATTTTCAATTCGTGAACAATTCTCCTTGATTTGGATAGGATACGATTTAACAACAAACACGTTGAGTAATTGTACATATGAACAAGAACTAGCAACAGTTTGTTTTACTTCATGCCAACTTTTTAATTGCTCGTACGGCACATGAATGGAGAATGACAATTTTTCCGCAACGTCAACACAAAATTGACAATTTTGTAAATTGTTTTATGTAGTTCGTAGAATGAATACTGTCGATTACTATATCCTTTTTGAATTTTGTCTTGAAATATGACTCCAAAGATGAATAATTCATCACAACCACTTTGAATTTTGCATTTCAATTTCCCGCCAATGTGAAACTGACACGATGTTATTACATGAAGTACGGCTATAAACACACAGTACGCTGAACACTAAAACTGCTAATCATTTAAATATGGCTGCCGTGAAAGAGCAGATTTTGAGCTTCAATTTGATATCCTGGATGGAAAATATCGTGAAAAAACGCCGTAGAATATCGAAATCAAAGTGACGGCAATCCCTTTAAAACGTCGAGCAATGTAACTGTTGCGTGGTCCGCCGGGAGTAGAAAATATGGATTTTCAAGCCTGAAATGGAAAGGTCAAACAATGTGCAACGTCTCACTACGACATCATTTGCAAATGTTCAAGGCTTCAACTTTGGATATTCGAGTGCACATTCGAGCAAAGTGTTACCCCTAACTTATAACAAGCTTGTTTAATGGGACACTTGGTTATATTCGCTAATGGTTTTGGCTGTTTAGAAGGTAACCACATAAACCATTTTTACGAAACTAATTTGGAAAGGTTAAATTTAAAAATCTACTTATAAAATACTGCTTAGATTAATAATATTGGTATGTTTAACGAAGAATAAACTGCACAAATTGCATTCCGTGCGTTTTAAGTCTTCAGCTTAATTTTTTTTGTGATTTGTAGACTAAATCCTATTAAATCCAGCAGCCATACTTTTTGCTTTTTGGCGCACGCGTACTAGCGCACGTCGCGAATTTCTGGCCATGTCATGATCAAAGCCGCTCTGGAAACACAGAAAGAGAAATGCCTGCTTTGAGTAATCCTAACATACCTATTACACAACGAACTGTAATTAAATGTTGCTGCGGCAAAGTTTGTAAAGGCAATCGGGGTTTGAAAATGCACCACCGTAGCTGTCAAGTCTTACATGGGCTAAACAACGAGTTGTGCGCAGATCTTGAGGAGCAAATTGCAGATAACCCTGAGAATATTATAACGGACGACCACCCACCCACTACACAGTCAACTTTAGACAGTGAAGAAATTACTCCTGATCTAAAGAAAGGCATAAATCTTCCGAAGAAGGACTCTGAATGGGAAACGGCCAACGATTATTTTAAATTTGCAATTCCTTTTAATGGACCAATCATATCGCAAGATTTCAATTCAAGTATAAGGCATTTAAATTATACTATATATAATTACTTTGTTGATAATTTTGGAAATGTTGAGACGGCCCCCGATGAGAAACTCGTAGCAATATATAAAGATCATTCTATAAAGGATCTAAAGAAGGCTTTAAACAATCTAAAGTCCACAAATTCGGAGGTAGCCGAAATAAAATATGTGTCTCGTATTCTGCGCAATAAGCTTCGTAACCATGGTGACATTCAGACAGACTCCAACCGAGACAACTCGTTTAATCACGACAAATACATGGAAAGAAATTTTTGGGGTTATGTTAAAAACGTTTTAAATAAGGAAGATGATGTGTTCCCATCCTTCAGCATGACAGAATGTGCGGTGTATTTTACTAAAACTTTAGCTGCAGTTCACCCTGGCAAACTGTTTCATATTCCAAGCTGGATTCCTAGGTTATCTGATCCGCAAGTGGAATTTGACCTTGACCCGCCTTCATACCAACAAGTTACTGCTGTTATCCGTAAAATCACGGTTAATAGAAGAAGGATAGAAGAAGGCCCTAATGAATTAACCATTAACTTGCAATTGCTTCTCTTTCAAAAAAATATAATGTAGGGTGCATTTGCAGGACACATTGCCAGCTCACCCACTAGTGAATTAACATGCGGCACTGGCAGATTGCCAATGACAAGTAAAATTGGGTGGTGTCAGTATGGAAACAAAGTATGGGCTAATCTGATAAAAATTAGAACAAAACATACGTGAAAATGGTTTAGAATCTTCTTTAAGTATTAAACTTGTACATTTCCAGTCAATGTATACAATTTGTTATTTCCAGAGCCAATAGGCCATACGATTTTGCATGCCAATTTCTCGACTAGTCAGTCCTCTCTCAGTGAGGTCACAGATCTGCCAATTGAAGAACTTCATCCTGCAAATTTCAAATTGAATGAACAACCATCCCATGGTGGATATCAATAGTTGTTAATAACCGATTAACAGCAGTATTCTTCCACTGAGTAAAATTTTATTGCTTTAGACAGAGTAAAATACCAATTTGAAAGTAGGTACATCTGCATGCATTGCCAGTTGATGTGTAGATTATGTAATGGTGATAGACAATAAATATTCTTCAACAGTCTTAAATTTCAGTAAGTATGTAGTTACAGAAGTCTGGTACAATGTTATAATTTCTAAAGAAGTGAATAATGATGAGGTGAAATTTGCATAGCGGGTCCAAATCGTCGGGCTAGCTATGCCACTGCTAGCAACTGAACATGCAGAAATGCCATACATTATAATATAATGGTTTTTTGAGGATGCTAATTTGAAAATTCAATAACAGATATCAGTTTGACTATTCCAAATGTTACTTTTAATATAGTCCACTACACAGTACACATCAACTAGAAATCACTATCAATGACAAGTAAAATTGTCTGGAGTTGTCTTGTTGGCAGAGCAAATACCAAAGTACGCTGCATAGGCACATGATTTGGGCTGATACGTTTGTAATATTAGTTCAATTTACTTCATTTGTTTGTTTCGCATCAATACGTTCGCACCGACGTCAGATCTCTTTAATAATAGCGGCCTTAGCAATTCTACTCGAGCTGTTCTCCATCCGTCGTCCTAAAACCACTGGGTATTTTATCGTTCATTGTGTCTACCGCAACTCTCATGACCAAAAGCAGAGCAGTTTTTCCCGGACAAACTCCAAAAGTATCGTCTTTAAGCACTGTATGAAAATCCTCGAACACTTGAGAATGGAATATGTGAATATACACTTAGCATAGCGTGGTTATATCTCAAAACCAATCAACAATACCTTTAAAACTTGTGAATACGATCAGATCATTCCGAACTTCGAAGTATAAATCAAATCCGTGATCAAATCAGGCGTATACAATCGAAAATACGTAAATTTATACATCACAAAAGCCATGTCAACAATATATTTTCTATTACACTCCTGCGAAGCGTCCCCCTATCTCGTCACGTGACATGAATAAAATCAGAACAATAACATATTTGTCACGTGGTGCAGCTAGCCTAACCATCCTTCTTCTATTAACCGTGGTAAAATGAAAGCATCTGGTTCACCTTGTCCTCTCGATCAAATATCAGTCATATGCTTTAAGCGATGTCCTTACCTAAGAACTTATTTAACTGAACTAATACGCTCTGTCTGGCTTTCAGGATCTATCCCGAGTGAATGGAAAAGAGCTTGCACTATACTTATTCATAAGAAAGGCAACACGAGTATTCCCTCAAATTTCCGACCGATCACACTCGAATTTATACCGCTTAAAGTATTTACATCATGTCTGCGTAATGCAATGTACTCCTTTCTCACCGCCAATAACTTTATAGAACATAACATACAAAAAGGCTTCACCCCAAATCTGTCAGGTACTATGGAACATACTGCGCAAATGGCTAATATAATAAACAAAGCTCGGATAAAACAACGTTCACTTGTCATCACACTACTTGACCTCAAAAACGCTTTTGGAGAAGTTCATCACAACTTAATCCAATCTGTCCTTGGCTATCATCACATCCCTAATCACATGAATAATTTAATAAAAAGCTTATACACTGATTTTAAAACTTCCGTAATTACGTCTGAGTTCCGTACCCATTTTATACCTGTTGGCCGTGGTGTATTGCAAGGTGACTGTCTTAGTCCTCTACTATTTAATATGTGTTTCAACACATATATTCAGCATATCAAAGCTGAAAAGTACCGTCAGTTCGGTTTCTCCCTCCAACTTCTTAATCCAATCCACTGGTTTCAGTTTGCCGATGATGCTGCGGTTATTACTGGTCAAGAGTCGGAAAATCAACATCTCCTTAATCGATTCTCTATCTGGTGTCAATGGTCCAACATGGTTGTTAGAGTTGATAAATGTAGCACATTTGGCATCAAAAAAGTTTTATCAAAATCTGCCCAGTACCTGCCGAAGCTTTTGATCAATAAGGATCTCATACCAACGATTAAGACTGGAGAATCATTTGAGTATTTGGGACGACATTTCGACTTTAACATGACTAATGAAAAACATAAATCTAAAGTGATTTCCCTCATTGATGAACTAATGTCCGAAATAGATCTTAAACCTCTTCACCCAAAAAACAAAATTTTACTTTACAGTCGTTATGTTTTGTCCAAGCTATCCTGGCATTTTACTGTTGCTACGATATCTAAAACTTGGGTAGTCGAAAATATCGATTCTTCGGTGAACAAGTACATCCGAAAATGGCTGGAAGTACCTATATCTGGAACACTGAGTAACGTTTTTCTAACCCATAATAAGTTTGGTCTAAATATCCTCCCTGCATCAGTCAAATTCATTCAGTGTCAAACAGTTCTACGCAATGCCCTAAAAACATCTCCAAACGATTCAATAAACGAACTGTGGAAGTCAACTAATAATCATACTAACATTCAATACGATAGCTACAACTCAACTAAAGAAGTTTTAAAAACTTTCCATTCTCAACAAGAAAATAAACTTAGGAACCATTTGAAATGTCAAGGTTCCTTTTTCGAAAATGTTTCTAAATTCTCCCTGTCACAACTTAACGCAATCTGGTCGGTATCGCAATCAAAGCTACCAAAGAACATTTTCAACTTTACAATTCGTTATATAAATAATACCCTTCCTACCCGAAAGAACCTCAGTAGATGGGGAATTTCATCAAGTTCTGACTGCTCGTTCTGCTTACACCCTGAATCACTTCTACACGTTGTTGCCGGTTGTCAACATTACTTGGAACGATTTACTTGGAGACACGATTGCATACTAAACTTTCTTGCAAAAACTTTTCAAAGTTTAAACGAATGCAAATTACATGTTGATCTTCCTGGATTTGAAAGCCCCTCGATTATTACGGGAGATGAATATCGTCCTGATTTACTTGTCTCTACTTCAGACAAACACCTCTACGTTGTTGAACTTACCGTAGGCTTTGAATCAAACCTCACAAACAATGTTAACCGCAAGAAAGCTAAATATAAAAACCTAATTAGAGAACTGGATCAAAACTTTACATTAGTTAAATTTATAAATCTTTCTGTCAGTTCGCTAGGGGTGTTTGACAAAGAATGTCATACATTCGTAAAAATGCTAAATGAGTTAGGACTGGATAATCAACACCAACAATATTGTATCAGAAAAATTATATCTATTGCCATCCGATCAACGTACTACATATTTTGCTGTAGAAATAAAGAATGGACAAATCCCGAACTAATGAACATTTAAAGTAACTATTTCTATAAATAAGTAGCAATTTTTGTATATAAAATTATAACCATGCATGTATAAGTGATTCAAGTAGTCAATTGTAGGTTACCTCAAGAAGTGAGATTTACAATTGTATATATCTATAAATGTTCTATTAATAAAGTTTTCATTATTATTATTATTATTATTATTATTATTATTATTATTATTATTATTATTATTATTATTATTATTATTATTATTATTATTATTATTATTATTATTATTATTATTATTATTATTATTGTTATTGTTATTATTATTATTATTATTACATTTCATGATCAGAGGTGACATGAGGTCACAGAGGTCACAGAGGTGACATCGAAACATTTCGAATGAGCATGAAATAGTATTATACTTAAGGTTCATCAGATGAACAAAGTGTCTCACCAAAGATCTCTTTATGAGTTTGGAAGATGGAGTGAATGATACTTAATTTTCGTCATTAGTGCATGTACAATTCTATGAATATAGAATGTTCCCTCACAGTGCTGGAAAGGTCCCTTTAAAGAGACTAGATTACAAAACTTTCAGTGGGTATATATGCTCCTGGAACTCCTCATTTTATTTGCCAAGACGAAAATATTTCTTTTCTGCAAGTATGTGATCATGAAACTACACTGTCATAGATAATCGTAATTGCAGGTGCTGTCAAGATGGGTGCAATGGCAATTTAACCAGTGGCTCCAATTAAAGGGGTGGGTGCAAATATAAGATTACAGTGAAATATCCAGAGGCATATAGATATAACTGTAAACTACAATGATTGACAATATAGATTGGGACAATCTAGTTTTCACATGCATTCGATTGTAATATACCATTTGCTGATACATTTTTTCCACCCTCCCTCCCTCCACCTGTTTCAATGAGTTGGCGCCTCGCAACCAGACGTCAGATTTTTGTCGGCCCAACATTGAACTGGGGGAATGGGAATTATATGAAATTACAACAGATGTCCCATAGTTTCTGGCAAAGATTGTAGTATAGACTTCAAGAATGCAGGATTTGGCCATTTCTGGGAAATCAGATTTCAAAAGCTTCCGGGGAGAATGCCCTTGGACCCTTCTAATCAAAGTGTTAGAAGATGGAATCACGAGAGACTCGAATTAAAAAAAAACGGAAAGCTCAATTAAGCGTTAGTTGCTAGGGTTATTCTATAAGCAGTGCATGATCTGAAAAAAATTATTTGTGACTGAATTTGAGGTTGCAGCCTTTTGTTTGTTTGTGTCTTCATGTGAAATTGTTTGTTGGTGTGAGATTTAGGCCCGGTTTAGACGCCGTGCTTTTCATGAGCCGAACTTAATCCATATTTTACTCGAGTAAAATAGGCGTACATCCAATTTTGATTTAGACAGGCGTGCTTTTCATGAGCCGTACTTAATAATTTGCGCTGCTTCACTTCGAAACCTGGGGCGAGTGACATTTCATAATAAGAAAAAAGGATTTATCACATACAATCTTGGCATTTCTGAGCGTCTACAGGTTTGCGGTTATTAAAAATTTCAATTGCTTTTTGAACAGCCTTATTACTACAAACATAGCATAATGCCTGGATATAATGTGTGGGAAAACGAGACCTATAGGCTTAGGGCGAGTTTTTCCACGTTATTCGAGTTCTCCCAAACTACTACAAGTGCTTCTATAGCTGTATGGGTCACACATAATAAATGTTTTATATTTATTTCATAATATAACTAAAAAAAAGATTTGTAGTAGACTCGACATATTTACAAATTCTCATTGCGTAATAATGCCGACCTTTGCTCCATCAATTTACTGCAAGAAACCCTTTTTGCATCTATCAGCAAATATCGCTATAAGCCTAATTTCGCAACTTTTATGCAAAGAGTCTAACGAAATGTGTATCTTTTGCTACAAATTGACGTATAGTATATAAAGAAAAGAAAGGGAATTCTACCGTGATATTTGCCGATAAAGCGGTATTAAATCTCTACAGAAAAAATAGAACAAATTACAGAAATACAAAACAAGCCAGAAGCGGAAGTGGGAAGGTTTTTGTATTTTGACTGTATAAACGGTTTCTTAATTTGCATTAAAATTGTTTTGTTTACGATTGTATGTTTAGGCGGGAAATATCCCGTGTAGAAACACGCCTCTCGACCAATCAACGCACGCGTACTATAAATGTTCTATTTTATCATAATTTATGCATTTGGTACGGCTCATGTAAAGCACGGCAGTATAAATCAACATGTGCTTCAGCCGTGTAGCACGCCTGAACCAGGCGAACTTATTAATTTAGCCGTGCTTAATATTAAGTGCAGTGCTTAATTGATTTAGACGCCGTGCTTCTCATGTGCTTAATTCATTGCATTAAGTTCGGCTCATGAAAAGCACGGCGTCAAACCGGGCCTTAATCTGGAAGCCTTGGCATGCAGAAACGAAATTCAAAGAGAATTAGTACGAGGTTCATAACACTTTCATATCACTTTTTCATATTCATTTTCATATTCAACGTTATGACGTCACCCCGTTAATTATTATGTCAAACCTCCATATTTGTTATGGTGATTTCACAGTTGGCTGTTAGCCAATGAGAAACCATGAATCTTTTAAATGCACTACTCTAATTAAACCATTAATATCTGGAAAGGCGAGATTCCATCCTTAGGGCTCTTTTCCATTCATCGCAAGAATCAACTCGCAAGCCCGCTGTGAAAGCTTTTATTCTATCCAGTCATAATGCTCGACAGTTTATTTTCATTCTATGTAATCAATCACAGCGAGCTTGCGAATCATTGCGAATCATGTGATGAGTGGTGAAGATCCTTTATTGATAGCCACCAATATATAGGTACACAATTGCACCTTCGCTCACGTGGCTATCGTTGAACAATCATTAGCTTATTAATCCATTTACTTGATATATTTTATATTTATTGTTTAACTTAAAACAACATCATATATGCATGAGTTGACGTCATGCATAAGATTTTGACGGCCTGGATTGTAGGATACGCACACGCATGCATTATTATTATTTATTATTAATTATTAAAAAAAATTATTTTAATAAGTCGTCCCAGACAAGGGTCCACGTATAGGCCCTATTTCCTGGAGTGTATTTGTGTACTACAGCGTTTTGTCTTTAAATACATAATATAAGAATTTGTGAAATTCATGAATAATTAATGAGTTAATAATTACCAATCAAAAAATTTCACGGATTACGTCACGTGCACACCCCTGTTACCCCATACAAATGAGATTTTAATAAATACGCAAATCAATTACAAACACTTGTGGTTGTATCTTTTCTGTTACAACCACGAGTGTTTGTAACTGATTTGCATATTTATTAAAATCTCATTTATCTCACAACAACAAAATCACATTTATTTACTCCAATACCGAAATTGTTTAACAAACACCAATTTATTTCCCCGTCCAAAAGTTATCGCAAGAATTAATGTACTCGGGGAAGAATCCATATTTTCCACGGCATTTGTATCGGAATGCACACTAAAATATGTCATGTCAACCATATTAAAATACTGCCTACTCACCTTTTATCGTCTTTACACAGTGGATCCAATCCACTTTTATCGCTCAAATATCGCTTCAAACCACAAATTATAACATACATTTATTAAAATTATTAAACTTATGAATTAAACCTCTTCCACAAAGCGACTCAGCCACAGATTTAGTGTTTTTGCGTTCACACAATGATTATGTAATATCCTCTCGGCAATTTTGCCAGTCCTCGAAAACCTTGACGGCCCATTTTGTAAAAAAATTCTGTATTCGTTGGAATAGTACAGCCTGTACAGGCAACAATTGGCAACCAAAAGCCGCTCTTCCTCTGCTGTCAAAGGTTTCTGAACCGGCTACCACCTCCCAACACAGTGGTTCAATGCATGCGACAAATACGCCCTCTGTTCGCAAAAAAAATCAGCCTATTTTAGCTGCCAATGACAACGTCGGTCTATTTTATTCGAGGGACTTTATCAAACAAAAAGAAACAATTAATTTAATCCCAAAACACTTAATTCCTTTCACATCTCATCGAACGTCATTATATATTCATTTCACAAGTTGTTTACAACATGAGCGGCCGTGTTGTTTGAGTGTATTATCACTCGCCTTCGGCTCGTGTGATATATTCAATACAACACGGCCACTCGTGTTGTCCATTACGTAATGGACAAACTATCTGAAACACTAGAAAGAAGGGTTGAACTTTATTCTTTAATTTCGAGCAACATCGGCACAAACTCTTACATGACCTGGACAACTGCAGACAAAGATGAACCAATGCGGACTTTTTGAAAACGTCTGGTTAGATAGCTTTCAAACCATTTAACTGTTTCCTGGGATACTCCAATAGCACTTAGTTTTTTTAATAAGATTGAATGACTGATACTATCAAAGGCTTTTGAGAGGTCAATTAAAATAACAGCAGATAGTTTCTTGTTGTCCATTGCATCCAATAGATGATCGGTAATTAATAAGTTTAAAGTTTCAGTAGAGTGCTGTTTTTTGTTGCCGCTTTGCTGTACACTAATTAAATTGGTTGAGGACAGCTGTCTCACAAATTTTTGAAACAGTATTTAGGAGGGAAAGGGGGGCGATTATTTGTACCAACTTCATGATCACCGTCTTTTAAAGGCACAGTTCAGCCTGTTGAACGATGGTTTCTAAGGCGCATTTCAGCTGTTTTAATTGAAAAAAACTAACTAGGAAAATCAATTAAGCATAATTCAAGATCACCAAACTCAATGTTTTTAACATTCTAAAACATTTTTATTGTTAAAAACATCGAGTTTACTGATTTTGAATTATACTTAATTGATTTTCCTAGTTAGTTTTTTCAATTAAAAGGGCTGAAATGCGCCTTAAAAACCATCGTTCAAAAGGCTGAACTGTGCCTTTAATAAGGGAATAACTTCGGCTAGTTTCATATCATCTGGGAACGTTGATGTGGCGAAGGAGCAATTGATAATGTTTTG